TATGGTTCATGGGGTCACGAAGAGTCGGACACGACTTAACGAGTGAACAACAAAAAGCAGAGGCTTAATAAACACAGAGGGACAGGCTGTAAGTTTCTCCCTGTGAAGAAAGTTGAGCAACAAACTGGCTTGTTGCTAGAAGCAGCATTCTTGATTATTGAGCTTGGGCAGAGATTATTGCTTGGGCAGAGATGGCATTTCATCCTTCTTCAAGTTGGGAGGCATGCTTCCCTCATGGCTAAGTTTGAAAATGCACAGATAGATAGCTACCAGACCTTGCTCCCACTCTGCCTGACAAGCCAACACTCAGTCTGTCAAGGCATAGTATGATCTGCCCTCAAACATGTTCATGCCCCTGCCCTCCATGGAGTTATGACCCACAGTCTGAGAATCATTAGCTCAGAGCAAAGTTTTTTAAAACATTCTGCAAACGTGGACTGGTTTGTTTGGAAAATTAAATTAAATAAACCTCCTTTCCCAACATTTTCCTCTTTAAGAGAATGCAAGTTCATGCTTTTTTTCAAAGTATGAGATGATATTTATAGCTGCACTTATGTATGCCTTCCTATCGCCTCCATTTTAAAGGCCTTTTTAAACTAAAAGGTTAATGCAAAATTAAGTATTTATTTACTACCTGAATTATTTGATGTGCCCAATGCCATACAATAACAACTCTTATCAGAAACTTGCTGGTCAAACAGATTTTTCAATAAAAATCTCTGGATACTAAGCTTTTCAGATCAGAAAGACTGGCCAACTCACTAGTGGTGGATACAGGGAAGAAGCAGCTGAGGTGGCAACTGGGCTCTGACTGCTGAATATGGGGATACTATGGTAAGCTACCTGATAGATCTCTGCAGACTGTCAAAGGTTCACAGATCACAGTTTGAGAATCACTGGCTTAGAGGAATATTGAAACCAGCTTGTTTCCCTGAGGCATATTTAGATTTTAAAAAAAAAGTATTATTCATTCTTCATCTTAGTAGGTAGTTTTAATTAGTACATTTTCTTTTCTTTTTTAAAAAAAGGAACTTGCTTTACCCCTTTCATCTCATGTAATTACTGAACAAACATCAAACAAAGCAAGAGATCTATTAAATAGCTGATACATCCCCAAATATTCTTATATATGACCACAAGCTTCCTCTCCCCACCTCCCATTGCAAATCTGTCAGCTTTGTAATGGCTTCTGCAGACCTGCCAGCTGAAACCAGCTTCATTTCAAGTAAAACACAGAAGTCCATAATTATGCAGGAGCAAATTAGTATGCTGAACTTTCTGCAACTCCTCGCACATACATATTTACAAGAACATCTGCAGGACATTTTACATGAGAAAGGCCAAAGGGGACAGACTGTGCCATTTCCTTTTCCTTTAGAAAACACTAGTAGGATGTAAATATATTTGCAGTCATAAATATGAAATGAACGTAGCTAATCTATTTTCATTTAATCACCAAAAAAATTAATATGTTTTCAAACATTATTTGAGATACAAAGTTAATGAAATAAATGTGAGGTTTAATTTTCATATTTCAAGTAATTGAACTGTGAATAAACTAAATAAAGTTACTACGGCTTTGTCATTTATATACTATATAACAGCAGTTAAGGATTGTTCAGTGTCCATTCTCTGAAGGACACTCAATGTTTCAATTTCTGGAAGAATTTTCCTTACCTCCAATGTTCTGTATAATGATTGTACTGGCCACAATAACCTACCAAAACAGTAAATTAGTTTAAGAAAATCAGAAACATTCTCTGCTGGATGTAAATCATGTATTTAAAAACCCATCAGAAGTTGCTGAATTAAAAAACAAGCTAGATACCTACATAGCACTGACTTTTTTATTTATTTTCAGAATTATGATTAAAAAATGGAAGGATAAATCAAAATGATTCTTAAAATATCGTACAATTATGATCAGATGAGTAACAGCTATACCTAGATATATTTCATGTCCATTACAATGAAATAGAAATTTGCATGCACAGCTAATGGCAATTCTCAATTTCTTTCCATGCTGGACAAGTTCCTCACCCTCTCTATAATTATATGTGAAAATCCATGTAAGAAAGTTCTATGGAGTGGAGAACATAAACGTGTATGTTTGTGTGTGTCAATCAAGTTGTCCTTTAATTGATTGTAAATTGGATTGTGTTCTTAATTTTTGTTCACTGCCCAGAGGTCACTGGGTAGATGGGTTGCTATATACATTTGTTAAATAAACAAAGACGTTTTCTCTCTTATGTGTACAGTATTCCATGTAAATACAGGAGCTCTACAGAATGCTCAAGTGTGATGAAACGTATCTTGGCTTCCTTGGATTTCAGCATATTAACTGCAAGTATACATATCAAGAAGAGTTTGGAAATTACCTTTCCAGGTGGACCAAATGCAAAGAGACCAAGATCTTCATAAGAAGTGACAGCTGTAAGAAGGAAACAAACAATTTATAATACATATTCAGTGGTAACATTATAAGGCATACCTATAAAAGCACAAACCTTAATTTTCATAGATCTAACAAATATGCTTCTTCCTTTTTAAAAAAAAAAAAAAACCCACCCCACCAGACCTGGTGTGTTTTTCCTATTTACTATACATTTGGAGCAAATGTATTTTTAAAACCTGTAATTAACATGATAAAGACCACTGCTTTGCTACTTGATGAATGGCAACAGCAAGGAATACGTGTATTACAGTATTTTATTGCAGGAATATATAGTTGTCTGTGTAACTCAGAAACAGATTAATTTTATAGCAATAGAAGTTGCTCAAAAAGGACAGAATATCACTTTAGTTTTCATTCCAGCATTACAAAACCATCATAAACAGTGAAATAGACATTATCTTCTTCAAATCAGTGTTGACTCCTGGCGACTGCCTGGACTAGTTCCTGCAGTTTTCTTGGCAAGATTTCAGAAGTGGTTTGCCATTGCCTGCTACCTAGGGCTGAGAGTGAGTGACTGGCCCAAGGTCACCCAGCTGGCTTTGTGCCTAAAGCAGGATTAGAACTCGTGGTCTCCCTGTTTCTAGCCTGGTGCCTTCACCACTACACCAAACTGGCTCTTTGGTGGAGATATACACAACAAAAAATAATAAAAAGGAGAACATAAACAGTAAAAGAAAGTTATGTCATAAAAATGGAGCAAAACCATTTTCTTAGTCTTACTTAAAAGTTTTAGGTGCCTAAGGAGTTCCCTTCCTGCAATAGCCTGTGTTCATCCTGTTAGATGCATTGAATTGCTCTGGTTCTGCCTGTTCTGTGTTTAGCTTGTGTTTTTCAGTTTACCTTTTTCTCCAAGAGATCTCAAGCATACAGAAACTCTTGGCAAATGCAATTCACCTCAAGTTTTCTGTACCTTTTCCCCAACCTGCTAGAAAGTATACATATACTTGTCTTCTCTTTACAGAGAAGAGACAAAATAATCACGGCATAGTCATGCAAGGAAGCAGCAGGCCTACACTGAGGTCTTCTGAACTGGGATTATTTTGATTCCAGGATATGGGGTAGCAGTCTGCTTCATGAGTTTATTTTTTTAGAGCTTCATTTTAGAAAGCTACAAACATTAAAAAATCACAAATGTAAGTCCATAAAAATGTAGACATGCAGTTATCACAAATCTAATAATTCACGCTAATTTCCATTATTTTATTTATATGCATAAATAAATAAGTAATCTAAGATCCACCACATTTAATTATATTACTAATGCAAAACATCTAGATTTTTAAAATCCAAATTACATCTTTTTTAATATAAGATATAAGATGTATTGCTTTATTTGCCTAAAACGAAAGTCTCCTTTTATTTGAATAACAATTGGTTTTAGTTTACCAGAAACAAAACATATCATTTATACACTGCTTTAAATGTCATTTAATAGATTTTGCAGCTTTTTAAAGGGCTTTTTTGTCTTTTTTTTCCTTTGCAATTATTTTATTTTAATAGATATATAAAAGCTAACTGAGAAAAAAGCAGAAAAAATAAGAAAAGCAAAAAATAGAAGAGATATTTAAAAGTCATAAAAATTAGGTAAACGTTTTAAAGTAACATTATATTAGTGCCACATATAAAAGTAATCTTATATCAATTTAGCACTTCAGAACCATTATTAAAGACAAATTATTATTCAATCATTAACAAAAGTGGTCAATATAAAAGATTCCTAAGTCAGAATGAGCAATTAACAAGAGTTTCTATCTGCTCTAAAGTTCTTTATTCAATAAATCAGGGAAAAACTAACATACAGTATTAAAGAATTATCTTGAGAGAAACCTAACTTTGGATATGGCACAGATCCATATGTAGAATTATAATCCATAAATGGCTTCCAAGTTAAATTAAATCCCGTATCAGACTTGTTTGTTAAATGAGAAGTTATTTTGACATTGATGAATGCTCCCGCCACTTAGTTGTAGTGGTTAAGATGCTGGCCTAGAAAGCAGGAGACTGAGTTCTAGTCCTTCCTTGGCATGAAAGCCAGCTGGGTGACTTTGGGCCACTCTCTCTCAGTCAGCACAACCCACCTCACAGGGTTGTTGTTGTGGGGAAAATAGGAGGCAGGAATATTAGTTATGTTTACCTCCTTGAGTTACAGTATATATAAAAAAGGCAGGATAAAAATCTAACAACAACAATAATAAAAATAAATCGGTTGTGATTTCATGTTGTGTATATAATAATAACAACAACAATGGCTTTCACCCATTCTATAGCACAGCCTTAAGATATTCAAGCAAGATATATAATAAATTCCTAGTAATAGGTGCCTTAGGTGCAATCTCAAAACATCTGGAGCGCCACTTGAACAACATCGGCGTTGACAAAATCGCCATCAGTCAATTGAAAAAGACAGCTTTACTTGGAGTAGTTTATATCCTGCGACAATGTCTTTTAACACCATCAAACAACAACATTTGCCTATCCCAGGTCCTTGGGAAGGACTCAATAGGTGGACAAAAATGCCAAATCCAGTCTAAACAACTGGCTGACTGTGCAACCGGCCATAATAAATCAGCTGTGATTTCATATTGTGTAAATAATAATAATAATAATAATAATAATAATAATAATAATAATAA